ATTATGGAATTGTTTTACTACAACCTTGAGGTGGATTTTTATTTAAATTAAATATGGTTCTTTCTAATCCAAGTGCATATTTTCTACCCACTAAATGCATGTGTACTTTTATTTTATAGTTGGTTTCCTATTAATACAGTATAATCCATCTTAAGAGAACATTCTCAGTAAAATCTTCTACTTGCACTTAACAAAGGTACCAAGTATTACTTTATAAATATGTAGATATAAGACCAACACCGCAATTTTCACGGAGAAACAAAATCCCCCTAGTGGAACGCACACGTCACACGGCATGCATTCCAGTGACACCAACCACGCGCCCTAACGACTCAGGTCGTGCAATCTGGAAGTAGAACGCATAACGTCTGTATTGGAATGCACAATTCATTCCAAGTGTGGACAGCCCAACCCGGAAGTACCCGCAAGACATGATTTAAAAGGACGCCAAAGAGGCCCCCCACAACATATACCGACAGAGGAAGCCCCCATCATAGGCCAAAATGTGTTTGGGATCTACCAGCCACCAGGCAGTGACAATATTGGACTATTGATACTGATTTGAACTTTTTTTTTATCTATCAAATATTTTATTTTACTGTACACAGTGAAATAAAGCTTTTTTATATGGGAGAGAAGCTTTTCATCTCATCTTTACCCAAGAAGCTTCAAAGGCTACACAAGGACCAGCTGGAAGAAGGATTGGGCCATCCTATTAAGAGTCCCTCTGCACTACCCATGAGAGCCATATGTTATAATTTGGCTCCAGGCTTGTGAGTACTTGATATCCACAATATCTCTACGTTATTTATATTGACAATATTGCACCATGTTATTTTCTTTTTCTTTATAGAATCATCAGACGTGTGTTCCACCTATTGTATGTATTTAAAAGCGAGAGAGTGTTCACTAGCATTCCGAGCAGAAAATGGTTTATTTGTAAGGCTTTATAGCAACTTAGAAACTTCTGTAGAGAACAATAGTTTAAAGGAACTCTACAGCTGTCCCGCATTACGCCTACATACAGATATTTTTTTATACATTCAGCTGGCGTATTTATAAAGCTGCGTTGCTAGACATGCTGCTACTTATTAACATTTATAAGCAGAATCTTGCCTATTTTTATTCATCTGTTTGTCACATCTTGAATGAGACCAGCATTGTATTTCTGTTTGTGTGCTAATATTTCAGACTCAAGTATATAATGTATAAAAAAGTCAACTCCATCATTACGTCTATACACATATAGGAATCTATTCAAAGATAAAATTGTGCAAATTTACATGACATTTATTTTTATGCATCTCTGTACAGGAATCTATGAGCAATCTTTCCATTTACCCTACATCATTTATGTGCTAACTATGCATCTCATATTTCAAAAAATGCTGTAATAATATTGTTTTGAACAGAAACTGACTGGTAGTGAAGAGGTTAATAAAAACATGGACTATCCATTAATACACATACCAGGATAATTTTCTGTTCCATGCAGTATGGGCATTTTTTCAGCTGCATGGTAACATACTGGGATGTAACATTAATAGAGATGACATTTTAATTTAGAACATATTACACGGTGAATTGACGTACTGGCATATAGAGTGTGTTTTTCTGCACTGTGCGATGTGTATGTATTCTAGCTCCCAATCCATGCATTGATTACTTCCCATCTCTCTCTCATTCTGCTAACTAATGTATAATGTATATATATCACTCACCAGTGTTGCCTTTCTCTTTTGTGAGCTATACAATGTTCTGTTTTTTTTTTTGCTTTTCCTTTCTACCATACAGTCTTTTGTCAATACATTGTTGTGTGACCAGTTTTCTTTAGCTTCATGGCCGTAGTATTACAGCCACCTACTAGTCTGCTTTGTCCACCTTTCACTAGAATTTTCGAAAAGGAAAGGCAAACGGTATTAAAAGGAATCAAACTGTGTTAAAATCACTATAGCCTGAGCTTACATATCAATTCCTCAAAACCTGTATGATATCAGTCATGCATTAGTATCCACTACAAGTCCCATTTTTCATTTTCATGGATACAGAAAAATAAACTCACTTTATATTTAATATCTAATAGATGTTCGGTATGCACTAGTGGACAGAGAGATAGATAGATAGATAGATAGATAGATGTTCATTGACTATTACAACGATGGTCAAAGAAGGAATGGCTTACAGTGATCAAAAATAAAGAACTGAATACATACTGTATTTCTGCATACTGGACATACTTGAAAATTAAAAAATCTTAATATATTGTCTAAAGTAAAAATCTGCCCATCCTACAACTGACCAAGTGACAGAATGATGAAACTACATCACTTATTGCTAAGATTATCTTTTCAACAAGCTAACAGATCTTCTACTGATTTTGCAAAAGCTGGTCGGACTGATTGTCAGAAATGGAATGGGATCATACATGCAGAATCTAGACAAAAGGTAAAGTATACCGGACCTTCGAATGGCCGGACTAATGCTAGAAGAACAAAGAGTAGTCAGAGTCAAGCTGAGGTCAAGGAGTACAGAGATCAGGGTAAACGAGAATACTAAAGCCAGGTCAAAGGAGTATAGACTGGAGAGTAGTCAAAATGGAGCCGAAGTCAATAACCAGAATACAGAATACAGATAAAGCACTATTAGGATCAATAATGAACCACAACAGGGCAATGAACCTTGCCCTCTTAGTCCTTTTTATACTGTTGCTCGTTAGGATGGTATACACGCCCCCAAAATGTCAGAATCTGAAGATTTTGGCAGGCTGTGACGTCATTAACGTCATGACGTCGACGCACCCGCACCGCATCATAAAAGGGGACCCACATGAAAACCGTTGTAGATTGAAGAGGGATGCTGGAGAGGATCCTTCTCCTCCTGTAAGAGTGAGTACCATGGGGGACATCCCTGGTCACCACAGAAGGCACCCTGACACTGATAATGTGACCAGTTCTTGAACACCTGCTGAATTTGACATGAAGGTTCATCCAACCGCCTTTACAAAATGCATATTCTCTGTTTACTTACATTGCTTACTTGCTTACATTGCTTAAATTGTTGATTAGCTTAATGTCTATTACAACTGATGTTTTGATGCTTTGCCCTTCTATGGCATGATAGGGACCTGTTATCATTAGGATCCTGTTTTTACTTTGTTGTCATGAGAGGATATATCTGTTTACTAGGGTTCCTATCTTATTAGCTTGTTTTACTTACACCGTATACTATTTCCATTTTTATCTCCATATCCTTTAGTTTAGATTTGTGCAATGATTTATTGAATATCATTTGAAATTACCTGAAATATATGATTACTCCAGAATCACCATTTACAGGTGTGATGGAGGAGGAGCCGGCATGTTCCAGGGCACTTATGCCTGCTTGTTATAATAATCATTTCACAAAGTTTACTTTGTCTGTCCCTATCTTTTAGCTCAACATACTGAGTGTCAACAATCCTTAATATGTTTTTCTATGGCAGATTGTATTATGTTAAAAAATATTATGATTATAATTTTAATGATGCACTCAATTATCAATTACACCATATGGTACATGATATAATCTTTTAGTATGATACCTTAAGTATCACAGTGGTAAATTGAGAATTTCTCTATATGCTTATGATATTCTAGTGGGATCATGTGCTTCCTGAACTTTAAATTGCCTTGTATCCCATATCATACGCTATCAAACTGATAAGCAAATATAGCACCACCAATAGCTTACACAATTAATGACTTCCTTTTACCCCTCTGTTCCTGTAGAGTAGGTCCATTCCTACAATTTACATATTGTCTGTAGGCTACAGACCTTCTCTTTAAATATGGTGGATCATTTCATGTCACCCTATCTATTTATAGGATTCTGCTGCAATTGGCATAATAAAGATATTTGTTTTGTTTTGTTTTTCCTTTAAAACACCATGACTTTTGAAAATGACTGACTACAATCCCTAATTAGAAACGGTCAATTATCGGATGTCTACACCACCTTAGTCACACAATCCTCACAAATGTCATTACTTTATATAAACGCATAAGAAAACGATCTGGGACTCCTGAGCAGTCAACTAGGAGACTATTGCTTTGCTTACCATTTACGCAACACATCAAGAGCAGGCATATAAAATGTTATTCTGATGGTACTTAACTCCACAGTTCCTGACATTAATGCAAGCCTTACCTTCCAACCATTTTTGGAACCAATGACAATTTTTAAAAAATATTCGCTTATCTTATTACTTCTAATTATTGAAATTGAAAATAAAGAATTATAAATAAAAAAAAAATAATAAACTTCTAAATTCTCACCCATTTTAGTACAAACACAGCTTTGCCCTTTGACTGTGTTTGCAACCAAAGTCATACTCTGTGACTTAAAATGTATTCACTTTTTTCTTCTCCCCTCTGACTCCAAGATTAATTACATTTCACAAAACACTTTCCCATGAGATGTAATCAAATGTCTTCTTGCTTATAGAATTGGTTCCACATTTATCTAATTTGATATACTAATGTCACATTAACTTTTGACTGCAACAGTTAATCAGATTGTCACGCTGTCAGTTATATAAAGATCCAGTGCTGAACCTATTTTAAAGTCCAATCACGTAAAAATGTATATAGTTATTCTCTAAGTTATAGCAGTATACATCTTTGGCTCATGTTTTTAACCAGAGTTGGACCTGTATACAGTTATGGATTAAGAGCCTATTGGGCCAGGTGCTAATGATAATTATGGGTCTAAATTCTGAATCTTATGGATAGAAAGTGTCTGTCAAAGAGTATATGTGTGTATACCATTCCTCAGAATGTCTTATATCTGGTGGAGGTATTTATTTTATTTTTAAGCCAACACATACCCTTCCCGCCTACACATACCATTGCGCCATTTTTAAGTGTGTCAAGGTGTGTATATCTGTGCTTGTATGTGCCAGTGTGTGTATCTGTGTGTGTGTGTGTGTGTGTTGGACACACAGATACACACACACACTGGCACATAGTGGCACACAGATACACACACTGACACACTGATACACACAGCTTGACACACAGTGTGTATCTCTGTGTGTGTATGTATCTGTGTGTCAAGGTGTGTGTATCTATGATTCAAAGTGTGTGTATCTGTGTTTGTATGTGCCAGTGTGTGTATCTCTGTGTCAGTGTGTATCCGTGTGTGTGTATGTATCTGACACAGATACACACACACTGGCACATAGTGGCACACAGATACACACTGACACACACCTTGACACACAGATACACACACTCAGATACACACATGGACATACATACACACACCCAGGCACATACACACACACACACTTAGATACACACAGTGACACATACACAAACCTTGACACACAGATACACACACTGACACACTCAGACACACATACTCTTTGACAGACACACATACATTCTAACTAACAAACACACATACTCTTTGACAGACACACATACACTCTCACTAACAAACACACATACTCTATTAGAGACGCACATACAAACACATATACACTCTGACAAGAATAGATACATTCTCACTGACAAACACATACACTCTCACACACTTACTGACAAACACACATATACTCTTTGACAGACACACAAACACATACAAACTCCCTAACACACACACATACAATTTTTTTTTATTTTTTTTTACATTTTACTCCACCCAGCCCCACTACCTTTAGGAGTGCTGGAATGGAGTCCCTGGGGGTTCAGTGATCTAAATCATCTCTGTAACGGATCACCTGGCACCCCGACTGGGTACCTCCGTTGAAGGATGCTCCTAGCGCTTCCTGAGAACTCCAAGCACTGCAGCAGACACCACAACCACCAAACTGGAGAATCATACAAATGCTCTCGAGCATATGAATTCTGTAAGCACCTGAACAGGAAAAGCATACAATGAGCTTACACTCCTGGCAATCAGCATACAATCCAATTCCCCCAATAATGAGACGACACTTCGTTTTGAGGTCAAGCAGAAATGCCTGTACTGGCACATACAGCCTCTTTTATTCACAATCCACAAACATAGTACTGCCCACAGGGTTTTGAAATATAACCAATTAATCCGTATAATACACACAGACACTCCCACACAAAATCCTCCCCTCTGCCTGTGATATGATTACTGAACACAATGGTTAATATAATTATCACAGGCAGAGAAATACAGTATTATAAAACATATCACAGGGACCCCATAACATGCAATAACCCCATAAAAATAGCCTCGGAACCAGGGGATCTGTGTGAACCACATATCCAAAATTCACCCAGATCCGTTCAGTAGTTTGGAAGATACAGTTTAATGCAGATTCTGCAGAACCTATACAGGCTATATGAAAAATAATTACTGTATAATGTGTTGTATAGTTTAAAGCTACTGCACGATGTCTTTGTGCACCAAATACCGGCAAGATGGCACAGTGTAGAAAAGTCCAAACCGTGTCTGTGAGTTAAAATGGCCGCCATCCGTTGTTCTCACCATGTGATTCATCCATTGTTCTCACCATGTGCCTCTGATACATGAAATGGTGGCCACCCAGTAACTCCACAGTATGTCCCCAGAAGGTTCTTAAAGGGCCAGCAGCAGCACAACACAAATCCATTATGCCCAAATCATGTCTTTAAAGGGCAATACATCACAGGGGCCATAGTCACAGGGCAAGAGGCGGGCAATCAGTCTTCTCCAATGCCCAGTGGTGAGGTCGGTTTCGCCACAATCTCCATACAGGACTCACTTCTCTAGTCCTTTGAACTTTACCCTAAGGCAACCTTGAAAAGGTGGATGTAGTAAGTGTAGCAGAAAGGAGACATGCCACACTGCTACATAATGATAAGAGAATATAGAAGCCTTTTGACAAGGTCCAGCCAGTTTTGTTCCCATACTTAGTTCACTCAGCACAGCATCATGAAGCAATCCAATGTGAAGAATAGTGAAGCTCATATATATAATGTTTTGGGGATTTTTTTTTTAAATTAGTGGACCTATTCCATAAGCATGGACCTGGCGCTGTAGCTACTTTAGCCCCTGTGTTAATCTACCCTTCCTGTATAAAGCTGTAACCCATGCTATATTATTGCGATGGGCCTGTGTGGACTTGTAACTCATGTGACTCAGCTAGACCTACTGGCAGTTATAACTCATGCTAAAAATAACCCAAGTGGTTTACCAGAGATGAGCCTGTATGTAGCTGTAACCCATAATTCTTACCTGAGCTGGACCTGTTAGCCATGTCTTTTCTCAATCAGAATATATAAACAAAAAATTGCACAAAATGCAATATATATACCCCTGTGGCTATAAGGGGAAAATTAAAGATTATATAAAATGGCTCATCAAATCGTAAGACATCTTCCCAGTCAGAATAAATGCATAATCAGGATAAAAGATGAACGAAAGATCGAGTCAGCAATAAAATAGTAAAATTAAAGTAATCCTGCTACCCTACGCGTTTCGTCTGTGAAGACTTCGTCAGGGGAGTTTGGCAAATCAGATGTGAACGAAATAGCTCGTCCATTGACCATTTATTATTTATATAGCGCCATCAGATTTAATTTGTTTTGTGATTCATCCATATAACGATTCTGAGTTTAGGACAAACTTAGGACAAATCGCTGATTGCCCAGAATTCTGACAAATCGTGATTCCTTTGAAAGCTAAGTATACATTTATTTTCTAATTAGCAAAAGAGACTATGGATGCCTGATAATTAAGACATGTCTGACTGCAAGTCAATTTCTGAATGTTTAAATGTAAATTCATTGTTCTATTAGCATTCATATTCTAGTACTATGTGTGACATAAAAGCATTTTCCCCAGAAAAAAAAAACACAGGAAAGTATATACATACTTCAATATAAATAACATAGGCATGTAATTTTACAATTAGAATTTGAAGGGAAGGAGAAGATTTATCATGTCAAAACTCAAGGTATGTGCAATTAAAGTATCAGCCATGTACAAAATGTTAATTGCATGAAGACTCAAGAGAAATCAGCTATGAAACATGTCATAAGAAACTCTTGTTTTATTAAGAAGTGTTGGAGTGAGCAGTAGTTATATTCCTTGTGATGTGAAATGGATCTGCTCAAATAGTAAATTGACTCTACACATGACATAGTAGAGATTTTAAAGGAAAGAATTTTTGGTTATTTCTGTCATTTGTTTTTTAGGTAAAAAAACAACAACAAATTCAGACACATAAATATTTGGTTCGGACGAAATTCTGTGAAATAGTTGATTTTCCAAGTGTTGGCCAACTGTTAATCTGTGGTCGGCTGACATTGCTATCAGTAGGCAGACATAGAGTTACAAAGCCTCGGCAGCACAAGGGTTCACCAGCAATCCCTAGCTATTAAAATGTAAAATAAATAAATACGACCCCCACATTAGTTTAGACAGTAGTGGGATTAAAAAAAATTGAGCTACCCGTTCTGACTTTTCATAGTTAAAAGAAATGAAGGAAGCAGAGAAAAAATTAGTTAATAATTATTCAAATTACTTTAAATACTTCCAAATACCTAATTAACTCATTATGCTGCTTATTTAGTATTTTTTCACCCTGTTGTCATCTGCTGTATGGTTTATTCTCAGCCAAGTTTGAACTGAAGGAGCGGGGTCTCAGATGTCCAATGGAAGGCTAATCATATTAATTGTCAACAAATTCGCAACATTCTGAACTGCGAGGTGGCGTCTTTTATCTAAATAGATATTGTTCATTGTAGAAAACCCTGTTTCTGCCTCTGCAAAACTAACAGCAATGGTATGTAGAATTGTTTTGCCCTTCGTACAGCACTTAGAATCTCGTGGTCGTGTTGATTGTTTAAACATTTTCCATATATTCACGAAAATTATTGATAATGTAAGCTTTTTTAAAAATGTACACAGCTTTTCTTTGACAGCTTTCCAAGGGACAACAACTTCTTCAATATTATATATAGTGATTAATGTCCTTTATAAAGCCAATGATCTTGTTTGATTTGTATATATGTTGCAGATTATAAATAAGGTCCCTTATGGTGTGTTCTCCAAATAAAGGGCCTAACCCTATATATGCAATTGCAAAAAGGTGTTCCCACTGGGAACCAAAGTATTGGAGTGGCACTTATGTAAATAGAACCGAAACATGCTAAAGTGAAGTAAGTCCCAAAAAATAATGGTGCAGAAAAAGTGTAAAAAGAAAATACTAAATTAGACTATACTTACGCATACCAATGCTTGGGTACTGTAAATTACCTTTATTAATGCTTGGGGTACAAATGCGTGGTATGTCTACTAAATGCTAAAATTGCCAACATTAAAGAGGGGGAGATGTCCAAGTGGAGAGAATAATGGTAAAGGGAGATACCAAAGCAGTTCTCAGAAACCCTTCTGAAGGATTAATTGTATAGCTCATCATAGGGTATCTACCAATAATCTCCACAAGGGGTGACTAGATCTGTGTTAACAACTGCCCAAAACAGGCTTAGTCCTAAGAGTAGAATTAAATGTATTAATTAATAAAATAATATAACACAAGCGAAGCAGTAAGATCCAAATCTACCCCTGATAAACAATACATGTTAACACAAAAGGTAGTTGGTTGGAACGTGTATTGTGATTCAATTTCATAAAGGTGTGTATATATGTTGTCCTGATAAAAGTTCAAGGAAGGAACTGAAACACTGACTTGTGGATTCTAATATTGAGTAAAAGAAGAATCATTGAAATTCTGTTATTTTATTGCAATATATGGAATGTGTTGCTGATCACCGGTTAACAAAATTATTTAGTTGGAGTGCAAAGCCTATGGGATGTTGTATATATACAGGGAGTGCAGAATTATTAGGCAAGTTGTATTTTTGAGGATTAATTTTATTATTGAACAACAACCATGTTCTCAATGAACCCAAAAAACTCATTAATATCAAAGCTGAATATTTTTGGAAGTAGTTTTTAGTTTGTTTTTAGTTATAGCTATGTTAGGGGGATATCTGTGTGTGCAGGTGACTATTACTGTGCATAATTATTAGGCAACTTAACAAAAAACAAATATATACCCATTTCAATTATTTATTATTACCAGTGAAACCAATATAACATCTCAACATTCAC